GAAGTATGTATTTTATATATGCAATATATATAAAATCATAGATATTAACTTTGAGATTATATATTTATATATATACACATTTATATATATAGGTGCATATATATACATATAAAATATATAGTACATATAGTATTATATATGTATATATATAATGTATGTGTATATATAAATATATAATCTCAAAGTTAAGAGTGAATGTTTGACGTGAGGAGCAAGCTACATTTCTTGCCTATTTCTACAGGTCCATTTCTTAACACCAGTAGAAAAAATTATTTAATATTCTAAATCTTGAGGTGAATAGGAGGTTGCTATGCTTTGTAACTATTCATCTCAATTCAGGCAAGGAAAAAATATATTCAAGTTACTGTTTTCTGGGTGCTAAATTGAATCAGGTGTCCTCTCCTCTTAAGAAAATTAAGTTGCTTTTGTGCAAGAGTGTTTTAATGAGAACAGAACCGGCCGACAGTGATAAATGGGAATGACACCAGGGAGAGCACATAAGCAGGACAATATGTGCATGTTATAGTCTTACAGCCTATTTTTCACTGACTATTCTGAATGACTTCGCTGTTTCTTAAGGGGCCTATTAATCTCAAATTTAGTTATTGAACAACGTTTATTTGAACATATATTCTGTGGATGATGACAGTTAATAAAGGAAATCTTTCACAAGCTGTATTTTTACATATTGTTCCAACTGCAGCTCCCAGTCATTTGATGATATTGATGGAATAACCTACATTGTGCTGAGGTTTTTTTTTTAATGGCACATATATTCAGATTCCTTTCTAAGCACAAGGGGACTCTTAAATAACCGCTAAAATACATACAAAAAATTCTAGTACAAAACAGTAAAAGCAAAAGGACATCTTAACTGTTCAACAAAAATCACTTAATGTACAAACTGACCCTTCTAAGCCAAACCAGACACCTTTTAACACTTTTAGAGCCCTGGTACACAATATGCAATAGTTTGTGCATACCAATCCACATTTTCTCAATACGCATGGAGCAAGAGAGGAAGGGCAAAATCGATTTTCTTGAGGTGCAAAAAGAATCAAGTAACACAGCTGCTTTGATTTCTCTTTGGTATGCTTTTTTGATGAAATGTCATGTACTTAAAATAGTGATGATTCTGTATTTCTTATTTCTAGTAGAATACTTTTTATGAGCTTAAAAGAATTGTTTGAATATTTTCCTAAAAATATAATTATTAGTTCAAATAAGCTCATCAATTCAGATTGTCATTCTGATTCTGGAAGAATTTGTTACTTTAAGTGTTACTGGTTCACAATAACAATACCTAATATTAGTTGGAAATATTTAATTCGAGATTTTAAAATCTGCCTTATAATTGAGGTGAAAATAAACTTAGTGAAACATTTTCAACTGCATCCTCCTGAAATCTGTCTTCAAAGGTGTTCGATTTCTATAAAATCAGAATTTTTAAGTGGAAAAGGCCATTAAATACTATGACAATGGCTTTGTAAATCAAGAAACAGAACTCCAAACAGGCAAAGGATCTTTCCCAAAGTCATATTGGACAGCAGAAAGACAGAATAGAAATCATCTCCTGACATCTCTTGTACCCTCTCTATTACATCCACACTATTTGTTTTATATATTATTTTTACAGACATTTATAGATATATCATAGAAAAAATGGCATAATGGTTATGTTGGAGTAAATGGAATTAAGAATATTTTTTCGTCTGTGCTTCTCCTAGAATTATGTTAAGAATTTCAGAGGCTCTTTCTTTAATCTTTAGGCAAAGTTTGAACAATGCTGTGCACATATTGATGCTCAATGTCTGATTAAAAACTGAATGAATTGAAGATAATACCAAAAGGAAACTACTTAAAAGAAGACTAAACTGCTTATTCTTCTTTGCTATGCTAACACTGAATATTCACAGAAACAAACCATGGGTATGACCCAGAATACTAACACTTAAATCGAAAATACTATTTATTTATACCATTTATCTGTCAATAGCTTATTGATACCTATCTAAGATTTTCATTGTACATATTGAAGATTAAGCTGAATGAAACTTACTTAACATTTTATATACTATTTGACATTATATCTGTTTAAAGAGTTAATTTCTCAATATTCCTCAAGTTTAATTCTTCTTAATCCTTTGGGTTTCCCATCTCTTCCAGAAAAGAATAAAATAAAATGCTTCTCTTATTATTCATTCCATCAACCCAAATTTATTAAGCAACCACAAAAATAAATACCATAGAATACCAACTCACAGTCTAGGGCTAGAAGAGAGACATCATAATAAGTACAATACAAGAAGATCAATGGTATCAAAGAGTTATGGCATCAAAGAAATTAACTTTAAAATGGGCTTTTCCAATATCTCCTAGTGATATACAACAAGCACTTTTCTGATCAATTAATGGAAGCTCTATTTAATGCCAACACATGAACTAAGCTCTCAGGACACTGAGAAAGGAACTGGCCAAGAATCCCCCTAACACTTTGTTTAGAAGGGCATCCACAAAACGTAAGTGGCAGCCTGTGTCAAAGCATCTAATGTTGCTTACAAATTTTAGAATCTAGCTTTCTTGACTCTGTTATTTCTGCTCTTTTCCATCCATTAGGTCTGGGAATCTCAAAGCTTCTTAAGAGGGCAATGGATCAATCCCTCAGCAATAACTTTCTCATCAGCTTTTCATTAGCAATAAAATAGCTTTCCTACCATCTTCTGGGAAATAACTTACCATAGATTCAGAGAACTTCAATGGACTTCTGCAGATCATCTAATCAAGGCACTTTTCCTCAAAAAAAAAAACTACACAGAAATCATTTACAAATGGTGCCCACCAATCCTATTCTTTATGTCTTCAGGATCAAAGACTGTACAATCTTCTTCACAGTTTTAGATTTTAAAATCTATATTGTAAATATTTTTCACTAGTAAGTTCTTTCTTTTCCTGACTGAAGTTTTTATTGGAGTTTTTTCTTAAAGTTAGGTTCCCTAAGAAAACTTTTAAAAGCTGTTTTTTTTGTCATTACAAATAGTGTGCTAGTAACCATTTAACCACTGGCTCAGGATAAAGGGAGAACACCAATTGGTAATATGTGCTGATTTTCATAATGTAAATACTCCTACCATGGCCAATTTCAAGGTGCAAATATAATGTCACTCAACACCAAGAAGGGTAAGATGGCATAATTACAAAGGCATAAGAAATTAGAAAAAGAAGGGCAAATTAAATACCAAATAAGCACAGGAAGGAAATAATAAAGATATGAGCAGAAACTAATGAAATACAAAACAGAAAAACAGTAAAGAAAAAAATCACTGAAATCAAAAGCTGGACCTTTGAAAAACACAAATAAAATTGATATACCTCTAGAACAGCGATTTGTGAACTTTTAAAGAGTCACTACTTTGTTTTAACCCAACTGGTCTAACACCAACTGGGTGTACTGCAATACAATTCTGGTGTTAATCATCTAGAATTAGTGTCAAACTTCACAAGTTAAAAACTCAGTCCCCCATAGGACTGCCCTTACTTTATACAGCCACTGCACTTCAAGAGTCCACAGGCTACCCATGCTTTTGATCAACTGGCTACAAATTCCAGTTGGGGTTCCAATGTCCCCCTTAGGTTCAATAACTCACTAAAATAACAGAACTTACTCAAAGTGCCATAATTAACATAAGAACTAAATCTATAAAACTTCTAGAATGCTTAAAGAAGATCTTTGTGACTCTGGATTAGGACAACATATCTAAGTTAGCCTACAAAATCACAAACTTTTAATATTATAAATTTTAAATCATAAAAATTAAAAATAGATAAATTGGACTTCATTGTCCTTCAAAATCACTGTAAAGAAAATGAAAAAGCAAACAGACTGGGAGAATATATTTCTAAAATATGTATCTGATAAAGGACTTGTATGCAGAATATATTTTTACAACAAAATAAAACAAAACTTTTACAACTAAACAAGAAGACAACCCCAAGTTCTTAAAAATGGGCAAAAGATTTGAAGGGACACTTCACTGAAGAAGAGATGTGGATGACAAATTAACACACAAAAAGATCCTAAACATCATTAGTTAATAGAGAACTATCAATTAATTAAAATCACAGTGAGATCCTGCTATGTACCACAAAGAAGGGCTAAAACTTAAAAAGAAACTGGCAGTTAAGTGTTGGTAAGGATGTGGACCAATGAGAACTGTCATATATTGCTGGTATAGACTGAAAATGATAAGGTCACTGTGAAAACAAGAAGTTTCTTTTGAAGTTACACATATATTTACCATACGACCAAACCATCCCACCACTAGGTATTTATCCAAGAGACAGATATTCCTACATTCACACAGACTTGTATTCAAATGTTCAGATTTATTTGTAATAGCTCAAAACTGGAAACTACTACCCAAATGTCCTTCAAGTGGTGAATGAATAAAGAAATTATGATACATTCACACAATGGAATATGACTCAGCAATAGAAAGGAATGGACTACGGATACACTCAACAACATGGATGAATCTCAAAAGCACTCTGCTAAGTAAAAGCAGCCAAACACAAAAGGCTGTATGTACTGTATGCTTCCACTGACAAACTATTCTGAAAAAGGTAAAACAGAAATCAGATCACAGGCTGTCAAGGACTGCAGGTAGAGGAAGGGGAAAGAGCCATAAAAGAATTTTTGCCCTGATGGCTATGTTCTAAATCTTGATTGCAGTAGTGTTTATACAATTTTATGCAAATTCTAAAACATCATACTATATAATTTTAAAGTATGAATTTTACTGTCTATAAATTATATACACAAACATCTGACTTTTTAAATTATAAAAATTTTAAAAGTCAACAAAAAGTAGAAAAACGTAACTATATGACATTAAGCTTTAGCTTGTTTATATTTACTTGATTTTGAGGTTTACACAGAAAATTTCAATAAACAAATAATAAGGTTTAACATAACACAATTAGAATTGAACCAAAACCACAGAATTGCTGTTACTACTTCCTACCTAAGAAAAAATTTCAGGGCTCTGCTTGTGATTTGTAAAAATGTCTTTTCAAGTCATTATTTTCAACAGTAACATGATTTGGATGCTAGACTTTACCTAACATTCAAAAAAGATACCCTCGTTTCACATTTGTTTAAATATGATAAGGATTTCATGTTAAATAAACTTTAATTTAAAATCATCACAGAGGCATTTATAAAATACTAGAACAAGCACTTATAATGGAATCAGAAGATCTGATTTCAAAACTTGGTCACATACTTAGCTATGAAAATTCATTGCATCTCACTTTATTCATTTCATTAAATGAGAAAAACAATGCCAACTTCATAAAATTTTGTGAGGGTGGGCACAGTGGCTCATGCCTGTAATCCCAGCACTTTCGTAGGCTGAGGCGGGCGGATCATGAGATCAAGAGATTGAGACCATCCTGGCCCAATGATGAAACCTTGTCTCTACTAAAAACACAAAAATTAACCGGGCATGGTGGTGCGCACCTGCAGAGACTCGGGAGACTGAGGTAGAATAATTGTTTGAACCCAGGAGGCAGAAGTTGCAGTTAGCGAAATCTCACCACTGCCTAATGACAGAGCAAGACTCCATCTCAAAAGAAAAAAACCAAAACTGTGAGGATTAAATGAGATGGCACACATGAAACCAGTGGGTATGGTACAAAATATCATATAAAGTAAGGCCCAGTAAGCCTTCATTATTTAAGTATTCATTCTCCAAGTTCCTTAAGAACCTAGGTTGTACGAGGAAACAAGAGACATCACAGTGGGGAATGGCTCACTAATGAACTGACCAGTTCTAAAACCATACCTAGGAAAACCTTTTCCCTTTCTGTACACACACCCCAACGACTTCACAATAATATTTATCTCTACATTCCACCTTTGGTTGGCTTACTCTCACTAATTGTACAGTATTTTAAACACCTTGTAAATATATCACAAATAAAACATAACCAAGTCGCTATATAACTAACTACCCATCCTGCAGAATTTAAGTAAGTCATGAAAATCAGAACAAACTCAATGAGAAGAAAAAAGAAGATATGATAGGTGCTTAAAAGGAGTGATCAGGATATTTTTTAAATAAGAGCACCTGTGAAAGTTGATGAAGACAATTATTATTACAAAAATGAACGAGAAAGATATGACATCAAGTCATCAAGTAATTTTCTCAGGAAAATTACATCAGCTTCCACTCCCTAAAAGCAACATTTGATTCTTTCTCCATTCGTGCCAAGAATCAGTGAATAGTTCTCATGTAAATTTTGTTAAGTGAACGATAAAATAAGCTTATTTTCATAATTTAGTTTTATTTTTTTAAATAAAGACTAAAGAAATATATTTTTCAGTAATTGCTACAAAATGTTGATTTTTTTAAAGTTAATTAAGTTTAAGTGAGCTTTCTCCTGTATCACTTATCACTGAATAATGTGGATCTTCTTTTGTTTTATTCTTCATCCTAGTTTGTCAAATATTGATATGGGATAGAACATAGCAATTCTTTTTTGTTTGTAAAATTATAGCTGATGTTTAAAACAAGCTTCAAAGTGCTACATTCGGCAGAACGTGGTTTAAATTTTCTACAAATAACAAAGTAGTACAGAAATAAATATTAGGAAATCTCTTCCAAATTTCTTAATTTTACATAAGGATTAGACAGCAGCCCACTGTGGGAAGTGACTTGCTCAAGATCACACAATGTCTAACCTCGGCTGAGTCAGGATTACAAGGAAGAGTTCCCAAACACCCTTCCTTCTCCAGACCATTAATCTTTATTTGACTCTAATATACTATGTAGCTAAGATGTATATTAATATCAAAAATACACAGCATGGAAATTGTATAGACACACTAAAAAGTAAAACACTAGTCAGCAAGCAGTGAAGCACTAAATCGACTTCAAATTTTTATTAAGGTTATCCTTCCGTTAGTGACTGAAGGTATATTAGCCTAGTGAGCCATGCAATAGCTGTAGCACCACAACTAATGGACTGCCAAGAGATGATTTAATAAAGGGCCCCAGCTGAACAATGGTGTGTAAGTAACTCTGACAACCTGAGGCTTTCTCCTGGTCAAACGTTTTATATCTGTAAGTGACTTTCTCTAAAAAAAATTACCTGTGAAGATACTCTCAGAAGGTTTCACTGTAATAACAGTAGCCCAAACATTCTTATATAAGTTCAGATTCTCCAAGATCTTTAAGATGTGATTAAAAAGAAAAAAAGCCTAAAGGTCTTGTCCCCAGATCCTTCTACAGGCACCATTTATAACACGGTTAGAGATCCAGTTAAATAACACATTGAGCAACTACAACGTGTACGTCTTTTGTTTGAAGTAAAATAAAAAAAATACAGCAACTTTTAAAATGCTGCCCTCTAGAATTTACTCTAAAATGCGAGCAATGAAAATTGGGGCGAAAGTATGAAATAAAAACATTTATTAAATTTATTAAATACACATGTCTATAAAACATTATGTGGACTTCTCCTGTTTATGACATAGACCAACTTGCTCTAGGAGGAGAAAAAAAAGTAGTATGGGGAGAAAAACACTAAATAAGCAGAGATTTTTAAAACTAATAATGCATATGATTAAAGAGAGTTCAGGGAAAAGTTAACTTCACATACTTTATTAACATTGCTGAAAGTGTGGTAAACATCGGTATCTTACAAATGTCCATACATGCCCCTTGACCCAGAATTGTCTCTTCTAAAAATTTATCTCAGAAAATAATTCAGTCACATCTGTAATCCCAGCACTTTGGGAGGCTGAGGCAGGAGGATTGCTTGAGGCCAGAAGTTCAAGGCCAGCCTGGGCAACGTAGCAATATCCCATCTCTACAAAAAAGTAAAAAGCAGGTGTTGTGGCACATGCCTGTATGCCCAGCTACTTGGGAGGATGAGGCAGGAGGACTCCTTGGGCTCATGAGTCTGAGGCTGCAGTGAGCTAGGATTATGCGACTGTACTGCACCCTAGGTGACAGAGCAAGACCCTGTCTTTTTTTTTTTTTTTTTTTTGAGATGGAGTTTTGCTCTTGTTACCCAGGCTGGAGTGCAATGGCGCGATCTCGGCTCACCGCAACCTCCACCTCCTGGCTTCAGGCAATTCTCCTGCCTCAGCCTCCTGAGTAGCTGGGATTACAGCCACACGCCACCACGCCCAGCTAATTTTTTATATTTTTAGTAGAGACGGGGTTTCACCATGTTGACCAGGATGGTCTCGATCTCTTGACCTCGTGATCCACCCACCTCGGCCTCCCAAAGTGCTGGGGTTACAGGCGTGAGCCACTACGCCCGGCCCTGACCCTGTCTTTAAGACAACAACAACAAACCACAAGAAAATAAAACAGAATTCAGGTTAAAAAAAAGATTTAGCTAAAAGATCTTCAGCAAACCACTATTTCCTTTTTCTTTCTTTCTTTTTTTTTTTTTTCTTTTTGAGACAAAGTCTCACTCTTTTACCCAGGCTGGTGTGCAGTGGCACAATCACAGCTCACTGCAGTCTTGATCTTCTCGGCTTAGACGATCTCCCACCTCAGCCTCCTGAGTAGCTGGAACTACAGGTATGTGCCACCAGGCCTGGCTAATTTTTTTATAATTTGCAGAGACGGGGTCTCACTGTGTTGCTCAGGCTGGTCTTGAATTCCTGGGCTCAAGCAATCCTTCCCCTCAGCTTCCCAGAATGCCCAGATTATAGGCATGAGTTACGCCTGGCCCCATTATTTTCTAATAGCAAAAAAAAAAGGAACTATCCAGAGCTGAAATTAATAATTATATATCCATACATGAGAATAATGAACAATCTAAAAGAATGTTGTAGAACACTATGGAGAGATGTTCATAATATATTAATTGGACAGAGTTACAAAATTGTATGCATTGTATGACCTCATATCATTAAACATATGTGCAGATTAAAAGGTTTGAAAAGATACACATAAAAATATTGATGTAGTTATCGGAACAGTGAGATTATAGTATTTTTTATTTATTTTTCCATATTGCTCACTAGGAATACATAATGCTTCTATAATAAAAAATAAGTTATTAAAATATTATAAACCATACAAGAACATAAAATTTTATTATATAGTCATTGTAGAACATTGTACGTGACTAAGAGAAGTGCTGGGATTACAGGTGTAAGCCACACAATGCAATGTACTTTGGGACAGTGAATGAATAGTAAGCCTTTCCCTCAAAATATCATTGGCCAAAAATTATTTTCATGTGATACTGTGAACTTAACCCAAAAGAAAAATAATGTCATGCCACTGAGAATAACAGTAATTTTATGTTATTAGAAAAAGAATGTATGACAGTTATTATCAAATTAGTCATTTCTGGAGGAAAAAATTGCAAATAAATGAAGATATTTATGTAGAATGATTTTAGGTTGCAAATAAAAAAGATGAGGATTTAAATATTTAAAGCCACAGATGTTATCTTAGATAAAAACAGAGCTCTTCTTCCTTAAAACCGAGTTCATTTACCAATTTTTAAAAAAGTATTCCTTTAACTCACAATAGAAATGATAAAGTCAAAGAAATTTGTTCCAGATGTAAAGCTCAGATTCATAATTCTTTTTAAGATACTCAATTTCTTTTTCCTTTTTTTTTTGAGATGGAGTCTCATTCTGTCACCCAGGCTGGAGTACAATGGCGTGATCTCAGCTCACTGCAACCTCTGCATCCTGGGTTCAAGCGATTCCCCTGCCTCAGACTCCTGAGTAGTTGAGATTACAGGTACCCACCACCACACCTAGCTAATTTTTGTATATTTAGTAGAGGTTTGGTTTTGCCATGTTGGTCAGGCTGGTCTCAAACTCCTGACCTCAGGTGATCCGCCTGTCCTGGCCTCCCAAAGTGCTGGGATTACAGGTGTAAGCCACCATGCCCAGCCAAGATACTCAATTTCTTATTAAACAAAGATAGAGTTTCCCACTAGATTTTTCACATGAAATATTTCCACTAAGAGCAACATTTTTTAAGACTGAAATTTATTTGTTAAAAAGTTATCTATTTATAGTCCAGCAAAGTATCAGACAGCCACTGTGTGTAATTAAAACACATATTCTCTCTTCCTCTCTCCAGAAATGTGCACATCATATTCATGGTGTTACTAATTCAAAACAAGTTTGTGGAATTAATTTTTTCCTCTTCTAAACACACACAAAAACAATAAAGTTACTTAACAATAATAAATATACTTTGCTTTTAAAACTGTTTAGACCATCTTACAACTGATCCCTGATTCCTTATTTTATAAAACTTATTCCTAGAAAAATTTATAAATAAAATAAGGTTTATAGGTACAATGTTATTCTGGCAGCCTTTTGAAAAACTGCTTTTTGATTCAACAACAGATAATGTGCACACTTTATTCTCCCACTCTCTGGGAGATGTACGTGCTTGATACTTTTTATAACCTTAAATATAAAGTTTTAAGATTCTTTATTTCATTAGAAAAAAAAAGACATCTGTGTTTCTTGCAGTTACTCTTTATTTCCTTTAAAACAGTGAAGCTTTCATAGAAAAACACTAATTAAACATGATTTGTCCATGCACAAAATTCCTATTACATCAAATTATTCATAAAATACCCCCTTGGCAAGGAGATTAAAAGGAAGATTGAAGCATCAGGTAACAATTGGACGGAAAGATCTCACTGGCTGCTTCCTACCCAGTCATTCTCTGCAGTTCTTAAATATCTCAGTTTAACTTAAGTCTTTATCAGACATCAAGTGAGTTAACATGTACTGAAAGACTCTTCAAGAATACAAATGAGAAGGTTGTTCAAACCAGCCCTCCTGCCTAACCACAATTATTTAATAGCTTAAATCCAAACTGTGAATATAGTTTGAAAATTTTCTAAGATGTTCTTTAACCTGCTTTCTCTTCTTTTCTTCTATATTTTCTATATAGCTCTAATCTTCAAGTTGAAAGAGGTTTACATGTTTTAGAAAAAAAAAAGTGAATGCTTTTAAAAAATGTATTCCCTTAACTACTCCTTACATCTACTTTCTAATCCCCAACTCACTTAATTAAATTCAGTGTGAATTTAAATTGCAATTAACATCTTTTGAGGGATTACATGTTCTAATCACAATTATGCAGTGAATATTTGAAACACATACATTTTGTTATATTATCTGAAATGCAAATTGGAGTTCAGAAGAAGATGTTTAATAAAAATGTATAGTGCTGAAGACTTTATTATAGAACCTAAGGGACTAGAAATGAGATTTAAGAGTAAAAGCACTGATACAAGTATAAAAACAAATTGCTTCACCTCCAAAACCCCTGGAAATGGCCCCACTTGGCTCCCATTTAACCTAGCTTCATTGCAGTTTAAAAACTGCCTTCCAAGATGTTTTATTAACCAAACTGAATTTCATTTTTCTCCCCCTAGATCAGGAGCTCACAGAGTCCTAAATGAGAGATGATGCATAAAATTCTGTAAAGGCAGGAGACAAAAATCTGTTTTTCTGACCCAGGAAGTTATAATGGAATGAGTAACTTCTTTTTCTTAACTTTGCCTTCAAAATTGCATTTCATGAGCAGAAAAAAAAAAAAAAAGCTGACATTTATTGATCATCTTCTATATGTCAGACAATAAGTATTATTTTATTTAATCCTCAAAATAACCCAATAATATACGGATTATTTCCTTTTATAGATGTAAAAGATAAGGCTCAGCAGACTTAAGTGGTTGAGAGAAATAAATTAAATGCATCAGTGGTGAAACTGGGATTTGACTCCTAAATCCATGCTCCCATCTGGTAAAAGGATAGTATCATTTCTGCAAAGGTGAGACCTTATGTGGAGCCTACGACCAAGCACCCATTTTCAATGTTAAGTTTAACTAACATTGTTAAACTCTCTACCAGGCTGTTAGGATTGTCATGGCCCCAGAAAACAACTTTATCTCTGGTGGTAAGCTTGGATAGCTTCAAGAAGTGTCATTCCTGGAGCTCTCAGGACTTTTCTGCTGAGGCCAAGAGCTTGCTAAAAGCCAGGATCTTCTTAATCAATGCCAGGATTTACCATAAAGTAAAGATCTGGTATATTAATCTATGCCCACTTTCCTCTTGGTAACTTTTCCTGTCCATCTTCAGAGTCTGTTTACATACTTACCAGATTGTTAGCTCCCAGGCTATGTTTATGTTTAAGGAAACTAAGCCAAACTCAAGTTCTGCCTTTCACTCCCTTTCAGTGTCAGTTTCCTGTTAATCATTTGTCCACACAACTTTTGCTGCTATGCATTACAAGTAAAACAGGGACTAGTTAAGCTAGCTATTACTTTTTCCTTTGAGAAAGATAACGCTAAGTTTCTAAAGCTCCCTATCCAGTCAACTCTAAAAAGGAGGTTTAAACACACACACACACACACACACACACACACACACACATACACACAAATAATTTTGTACTCCTTAGCATGTTTTTTGCCCTTTTTTCTTTTTCTTTCTTTTTTTTTTTTTTTTTGAGACAGAGCACTTTGTTGTCCATGTTGGAGTGCAGTGGTGCAGTCTCAGTCTCAGCTCACTGCAACCTCCGCCTCCCAGGTTCAAGTGATTCTCGTGCCTCAGCCTCCCAAGTAGCTGAGTACAGGCATGCATCAACATGCCCGGATAATTTTTATATTTTTAGTAGAGATGGGGTTTTGCCATGTTGGCCAGATTGGTCTCAAACTCATGACCTCAGGTGATCCACCAGTCTCAGCATCCCAAAATGCAGGGATTACAGGCGTGAGCCACTGCACCCATTCAGCAAGGCTTTTAAAAGGCAGTGTTTAATTTTTATACTTTACTGTGATTTTAATCATAACCTGTTATGTAGGTGGTTCTTCTTTGTTAATATTTAGAGATTTGTGAGGCTTCAGAAAATATTCAACAACAAATACATTTTTTAACCATTGTTGGGAGTGGGAGGTACCTTAAGGTCTTCAGGGAAAAACAAACCTGTATGGAGGTCTTCACAGTTCTAATTAGGAGTGCAGTTTGGATTAAAAAGAATCATTCAGGGTTCTCCTGAAGTTTCCTGAAAAGCAAAGCTGAATGGGGAGCACAATCAGAAGGAGCGCACAGTCACTGGAGAAGGTAATGGCTTCTAGGAGGGTACAAACAAACCACCCTGGCAAGATCTTGGCATTTTTCCTATGCCAATATCCTCTAACCCAGTCATCATTTCTCCAACTCTGGCCTTTCTTGTGCTCATAAAATGATAACATGCGGATGATATAAAGAGGCACAAAAGGTTGGTGAAGGCAGGAAAGTGGTCAGGAGAGGCAGAAACTATCACTGGTGTCAGAGAGACTGGAAATTTAACTCAGTGAGCAGTTGCATGAAGATGCCAAAGGGCACACCAGAAATGCTTCCTTGAAAGGAGAACTAAGGAGAAGTAAGAGAAAACAAGGGACACTAGGATCCATGGAGTTAGAATACTTTTACTTGAATTTGCCTACTATCATCGAAATCAACCCAACTATTCAGTGAACAGACATTTGATAAACAACTACTGTGTATAAAAAACAGAGAAATATTTTCTGAATGTAAGATATGATCACTGTCCTCAAGAACATTTCAACCTATAAAGGAGTATTAGCATATGTCAAACCCAAAGCTTATTCATTTATGCATTATTAGGTCTTGCCCTGTCACCCAGGCTCTAGTGCAGTAGTGTAATCATGGCTCACTGCAGCCTCCACCTTCCAGGCTCAAGCAATCCTCCCACTTCAGCTTCCCGAGTAGTTGGGACCACAGGTGCATGCTACCACACCCAGCTATTTTTTTAATATTTTTGTAGAGATGAGGTATCACTATCTTGCCCAGGCTAGTCTTTAATCCAAGTAATCCTCCCACCACAGCCACCACCCAAATGCTGGGATTACAGACATGAATCACTGCACCCAGCCCAAAGCAACTTAAAAAGAAAACAAAGACATTCCTTTAAAATCAGACTTCCTTTAAAACAGAATTTATTATTTATTCCACGATGGGCTATGTTTGAGGCAGATATACAACTATGCAGTGTGGAATGGATACGTTTGGGGTAGATGTCTAAGTATGTTCTGAACACAGGCAGTATACAGAGCTTGCACTATTACTTGGTTGGAGAAGGAGGACACAAAAAAGTTACTATTCTTTGACTTTTCTCTCCTATCTCATGGGCTTAGTGCTTCCTTTAATGTCTTTTCTTCAAAGTCTTAACAACTTAACAACTATTGTTCAAACTTAAGACATTGTTTTAAATGCCACTTTTAAAGAATGTGCTCAATTAGAACTCCTTTCGAAATACTACAACCAGCTGATGTTTGACAAACCTGACAAAAACAAGCAATGGGGAAAGGATTCCCTATTTAATAAATGCTGTTGGGAAAACTGGCTAGTCATATGAAGAAAGCTGAAACTGGATCCCTTCCTTAAACCTTATACAAAAATTAACTCAAGATGAATTAAAGATTTAAACATGAGGCCTAACACCATAAAAGCTATAGAAGAAAACCTAGGCAATACCATTCAGCACATAGGCATGGGCAAGGACATCATGACTAAAACACTAAAAGCAATGGCAACAAAAGCCAAAATAGACAAATGGGATCTAATTAAACTTAAGAGCTTTTTCACAGCTAAAGAAACAATCAGTAGAGTGAACCAGCAACCAACAGAATGGGAAAAAATTTTTGCAATCTACCCATCTGACAAAGGGGTAATATTCAGAATCTATAGAGAACTTAAATTTACAAGAAAAAAACAAACAACCCCATCAAAAAATGGGCAAAGGATGTGAACAGACACTTCTCAAAGAAAGACATCTATGCAGCCAACAAACACATGAAAAAAAGCTCATCACTGGTCATTAAAGAAATGCAAATCAAAACCATATCAAGATACCACCTCACTCCAGTTAGAATGGCAATCATTAAAAAATCAGGAGACAGGCCAGGCGTGGTGGCTCACGCCTGTAATCCCAGCACTTTGGGAGGCCGAGGCGGGTGGATCACAAGGTCAAGAGATCGAGACCATCCTGGTAAACATGGTGAAACCCAATCTCTACTAAAGATACAAAAAATTAGCTGGGCACAGTGGCGTGTGCCTGTAATCCCAGCTACTCAGGAGGCTGAGCCAGGAGAATTGCCTGAACTCAGGAGGCAGAGGTTGCGGTGAGCTGAGATCGCGCCATTGCACTCCAGCCTGGGTAACAAGAGCGAAACTCCGTCTCAAAAAAAAAAAAAATCAGGAGACAACAGATGCTGGAGAAGATGTGGAGAAATAGGAATGCTTTTACACTAGTGGTGGGATTGTAAATTAATTCAATCATTGTGGAAGACAGTATGGCGATTTCTCCAGGATCTAGAAATAGAAATACCATTTGATCCAGCAATCCCATTACTAGGTACATACCCAATGGGTTATAAATCATTCTATTATAAAGACACACACACATGTATGTTTACTGCAGCACTGTTCACAATAGCAAAGACTTGGAACCAACCCAAATGTCTATCAATGACAGACTGGATGAAGAAAATGTGGCATATATATACCATGGAATACTATGCAGCCATAAAAAAGGATGATTTTATGTCCTTTTCAGGAACATGGATGAATCTGGAAACCATCATTCTCAGCAAACCAACACAAGAACAGAAAACCAAACACTGCATGTTCTCACTCAAAAGTGAGTGTTAAACAATGAGAACATACAGACACCAGATAGGGGAATATCACACATAAGGGCCTGGGAGGTGGGTTGCTAGGGGAGGAATAGCAGGGGGCCAAGGGATTGGGGAGGGATAGCATTAGGAGAAATATCTAGTGTAGATGATGGGATGATGGATGCAGCAAAGCACCACCATGGCACGTGTATACCTATGAAACAAACTGGCACGATCTGCACATGTGCCCTAGAACATAAAGTATAATAAATAAATTTTTTAAAAAAGAAAAAGAAATATCCCTAAGTGTACTGATTCTGAGATACAGATACACACATTATACACACATGTAAATATACATATGTATATATACATATGCCATACCCATACTCCATGTATACATAACTAAATGGGTAATATAAAGACATGCTATAAAAGGATTTTGCTACAACTATAAAGAAGGACTGCTCAGATAGAATTGGTTCCTTCCCTCTTTATTCTTAATATTTAAAGTCAAATGCACAATTACCTTTTCAGAAAGAAGTCTCTTTTCTGATATATCACAAGGTACTTACCTCAAACTTGAACGAAGTTTTTACTAGAGTGTTAAAGTTATGTTTATATATTTATATTTTTCATTAAAGTAATCATGTGAATTCTTTTTCACCAGATATATGATCACCATACTACTCAACTATGGAGCCTATAATGAGCCCCAAACTTTCTGCATTTGCTGACTCTGAAATTCTTTGCAGATCTACAAAGCATGCCTAATGCAGGCAGGTATGTTGATATGGGAAATTCAACACTAGCACTAACAACGACTACCACTTCTCAATCCCTCTATGTGTGCCAGCCACTGTGCATACCTCATCTTTACCCATATCACTTCATGCAATAGATGCTGTGCTGCTAAAAAACATAAGATGTATTTAAAATATAGCCCACACTCTTTTCACTATGTTAAGGTGTCAACATTAAAAATCTTAACTAAACATAAAATGTTTGAACCACCACTCATATCAAATTCATCAACTCAAGAAAATATCCCTCTGACCCACCCAACCATTTCCTGTCCTCCATACCCACCCACTCCCAAAAGATAGCTCATGCAGTTTTCCAAACTTATATCAAAAATAAAGAGAAATAAAAGTGACATCTTAATATAAAATATAAATCCTTCAGCATCTTAAAAATAAACTCTTCTATTCAATATAGTGAAATAACTGTGGAACAAACATTAAAGAATAATGAACATGCAAAAAAAATGCACTGCTGTCAGCACTATACCTGGGTACAAATGTGTTAGAGCATCTTAGCTTAAAACAAATCAAGTTAAGTGCCTGTTTAGAAAAATACTTCCATGTACGGCATACATACAGTGTTAGGAAGGAAAGCAAACCCAGAAATTAATTAAGAAATGAGTGGTTTTACAGAGTGCTGTAAGAAGAACTTTCTAATAAACTTTCTCTATATACTTAGAGTGAAATCTTCCTACAGATTTCCTTCCCTCATTTACATATCTGTGCAGGCTTATTCTTTTTTTTTTTTTTCTTTCAAGCCCCTTTGCCCTTTCAATCATGAAGCATATTACTCCACTGTCAGTGCAAAGCAGTTCCTAACAACAGGGAACCCAGCTGGGATAGGAAGAGGGCAGCGGGCTCATGCATTAACATAATAATCCAACTGTGTTCCCATAGGCCCTTAGGGCAGACAGCATATTAGGTAGGCCTCCTGTGCAGACCCTGGTGGAAGCTGCCTTATCACCTGCCTATCAACCTGTGGCAGCTAGAGCTAGCTCAATAGCACCAGCTCCTGCCAAGCAGTGGTGCCCAATTACCTTACTACAAAAGACAGAAATCCATTTTTCGATGTCTGTTTAATGTACTCAATGCATTTCCTTATTTATGATTTGAATATACATTTCTGCATCGTTTCCAGGGTATTAACTTATTGCCTTTTAACTTTTTTAAGTCTAGTTGTCTAAAGGCCATTCTGCAGCAGTAGGTAGGAATGAGACTAAATGTGAATTTCAAATATAAAAGCCCAAGTTGGTAAAAAGCTAACCATTTGGTCACCAGTTGTCTAAAGATTCCTCAGTCAATATAGAGGACTAGAAGTGTGAGGAAGCCCTAAATGGCAGCCATCACTATTTCCTCACGGGGATAAAAGTGAGGGGATTCCTATACCAATGTCTCCTTTAAATGTGGTTTTTAAGTCTAATCCAAGCACTTCCTAAGGTTCCTATAAAGTGTAAGCCTTTGTGCACACTGATTCCAATGAGCAAAATATGTGGACAGATTACTACAACTGGCTGACAGTAAAATCAAAAAAGATACTTCAAAATTATCTTTTTTAATCTCAAATGATTATTGAAGATAGTTTTTCTTAAAAAAAAAAAAGGCTGACCCACTGACATGCTTTTTACTGTTTGCATGTATAACACATATGTTTTATTTTAAGGCTGCTTAATTCCTAGAATGTTTTTATCTATGTGTGATTTTCTTTCCAAGCTACAACATATATCAAGTAAGGAAAAGCTGAAGGGTATATTCCATTAAAAATGTCTATTTATCACGTTACATAAGATCATCTTTAAAATACCTTAACAGATGTTTGAAATCATAATTCATTTCAGTGAATTAAACATAGTCTCATTCCTTGAAGTTTCCCCTTAAAAAGGTTCCAAAGAAGGCACGTAATTTGACATTTAATTTAATGGGAAAAAGTGGTTTTAAAACTATTCTAAATAATGCTATTTAAAAGAGCATGAGACTACCAATTTGGCTAGGGAAACATTTTGTACTGATGATTTTGTGCTGATCATTTAAAAAAAATGAGTTTCTAGAAATGTTACATTTTTTTATGGGCATTTTAATAAAAAATGGATCCTGTGGTCAAACAAAAGTACATTTATCTAACAGTTCTATGAATTTTAAATGTTAAGGAACCAACACCATTATTTACAGCAACCAACCTGATATACTTTATATACATTCTAATAATTAAGCAAAAATTAAGTATCAAAGGCTATGGCACTAATTTTCACTCACACAGTTATCTCCGTTACCTTAACAGTTTTTGCAACATATTAAACAGGTGACAGTGACCATTCTGCAACTTGTCAGTTCTTTGGATTACTTCCATACATACCAGACAGAGTTTTATATAAAGTAAATATCTTCCTCATATTGAAGAAATTTGCTCTTTATTAAACAACCTGAGGAAAAGTCAAATAAAAGAGAAAAAAAAAACTAGAAGAATTTTTTCTTCTGTAAGTAAATCCTGAGCTATTTAATAGTCTCTAAACAATACACTACAATATATTGTTGATGGAAGTGTAAATACAAAATACTAAACTCCATTATAAATATTAATGCTTATATATGTGTTAAACAACAAAATTATACACATCTCCTTCTTGATCTTTTGGGGATTCTAGGGGCTCTTTATTCTTCAAGCATTCTTATGTTTTGACAAAATGTAATGCATCTTCCAAGTCATTAAGTATAGAAACTTGATTTTTGATTAAAAAACAATCAACGGCAGCCATGTGGTGACAGGATAAATAGTGGCCAGACTTTACCACTTTAATTCCTTAAAGAGGTACATTTCCACTCTAGGGTAAACAAAAGAAAAGCATGTATATAAAATAGAAATCTAGTTATGCCATCTCTAAGAACTTGATTTTACCTTAAATAGCAACTTATGCAGCTAGAATAATTTGGTCCCTAAAGGGTGGTAAAGAAGGCAATAAGGACAGAACTGTAGTATGATTTCCAGCATTAGCAATTCAACTTTGGATAAGCTTAAAATTTATAAAACTTATAAAATTTATAAAAGTAAAGATAAGTGAAGAAAATATTATTTAAAATTTTAAGTGAGAGTAAATACAAATAGAAAATCATGTGAAGGAAACACATTTAAGTGTGATATACTAATTTTTAAATGTGCCCCCAACTCCCGCCAGCAATTTCTTTAGCCTGCACATTCCTATATTTGAAATAAGCCACATCTACATTCGGATTATACCGAATCCCTAGAGCATTCCCTTCCCTCCAGAGAATTACCTAAAAGGACTTTCCTCTTCCAATGAAAACCATTTGATTCCTAAGAACTTTATCTACCCGGTTCAATCTGGTGGTATAGATATGGCTTCAGAGATGGTTTGCAGCTAGCATTTTTTGACATTTCTGCCAAGGATAAGATTAAGTATGAGATATCGAAATTACATGTTAAAATAGATGCCATTTTACTTTGTTTCTTCCTGAATAGCCCTTCAGCTGTTGAGGCACATAGATTTTTCCCCAGGCAAAATCCCCAGGCTAAAATAACTGAGCCTCCTATCGTCAGGAAACCCAGCTTCTCAAACATTATTCTTAGGTATCTGATTATCTATCAGCCGTAGTTTCATTTCATATTTACTCATGTAAATCTTACTTGAACAAAAGAAAAATAATCCACTTAAAATGTTTCCTCTCAACCACTCATATTGAATACAATCAATGGCAATACTTAATGTTCTATTACAGCTTTTTAAAATGTTGATCTTTATTTTAGCAATAGAGTTAGAAGTCACAAGGATTCAAGGACTGATCATTTTTGTTCCCCAAACATCCTTGCCTTCCACGACTGCCCCCTTGAGCAACATGCTATGCGCTGAATAAAGGACACTCCCATTTGCCAAGATCTAATCTTACCACTTTGCAACCCTAGCCTCTTGGACAACTTAGTCAAAAGACCACCATTCTAAACAGTAACAGATGTTTCAAAGCTATTATTCCAAATCTCAGATGAGAATAAATATAACTTTAAATGAAAATAAGAGATACTGATCAAACAAGTAAAAAAGTAAATAAATACTTCAAAAAACCTTTCAAGCGATCACGAACTAAAAAGAAAATTTTATGATTGTATACACAGCTTTTAAAATTAAGAGAAACTAAAACACATATTAAAACTTCACATTTTAACAAAGCCAACTGAATTTATATTGCAAGCACATAGTTTTATGACAAAAAGATTACAGATTACTATTTCAACACCCATGCAAGTACTAAATCATTATGCATTAAGTTACTAAAGGTGTTTTTAGAAAGAGTTCTTAATTGCCTGCGTTTACAATTTATCTCTAATTTAACATCAGAACCCTTCCTGAAAAGCTACAGACAGGATAAAGAAACAGAATTACGACTTTAAAAAAATGAAGAAAAAAAAATAACAGAAGGTAGAGGAGGAGGCAATGCAAAAAGAAATCTATGAACGAGGAAGGTAGAGTGAGTAAGTAAAGAAGCAACTAGAAAATGAACACTCTTTACCTCCTTAAATTTGATAATACCTTTTATTTTCCAATTTCTAGAGAAAACGAAGTTTAGTGGATTCACAGTTCCATATAGCTGGGGAAGCCTCACAATCATGATGGAAGGCAAAAGGCTTGTCTTACATGGCGGCAGATAGGAGAGAATGTGCAGTGGACCTCCCCTTTATAAAACTGTAAGATCTCATGAGGCTTCTTCACGATCACGAGAACAGCATTCTTTAAAGGACAACTAAACACTTCTCTGCACAGTGTTGTGGAAGACATGCCACACAAAGAGACGATACGTGCAGTGACGGTCCATAAGGTAAATAAGGCGGAGGCAAGGGGCAGGGCACCAATGGCCAATGAGGCAATTCAAAATAAATACATTAAGAATAAGTGGTCAGCAATATTGGCAACTTCTGAAAGACAAAATGAGAAGTTATCTTTCAGTTTTCTCTTTAGCAAATGCCCATTTAAACTGTGTATGTTTGTGTGTGTGCATGTGCATGTGTCTTGGGGTGAAGGGTAAAGGGGAGGCACATATGGCATTACCTGAAGAGGAGAAACACGAACAGCACCTTGAGCCATAGTCCATTGGGAAGCTGGATCTCCTTTCTTTTGGACTTTAGTTCTAGAACTATGACTTGCATTGTCTCATATCAAATATTGCTATAAAAATAACTTAAAGGAATTGAGAGAATTATGGTTTTCTCTTATACTACTTGCTTAAAGTAATCCATTTCTTAGGGCTCAGGAATATTTATGGTAAAATGACCATCACTGACTCAATTTGCATTCAAAACAGAAAGACAGTTAACTAGACTGCTTGAGTGATAGCAAATGCTGCTCACTATGGGAGAAGCCAGTAGCAGAAACACAGGTGTAAAGAGTGAAAAACACAGACCATCCTTTGTCACTGAAGGAACAAATTCTGCTCTGAAAAAAAAAAATACAGTTGTTTCTCTAGTTCTTTGTACAAAAGCCTGTTTTATTCTTGCTTCAATACTTAAATCTAGAAACAAAGATATAAATCAATTAATCCTTATAAACTGATCCTAGGAGCTTCATTTTCCTCAAGGAATTAAAAGAAGACTTGACCACTACACAAAGAATATGAAATCTCTGCACTAAATTGCTAACACATATCTCCAATTAGATTTAAAGACATTTTTACAGCTTTTATGTCAAGTTTATATTACTAGATGCTAAAGAATGTGTTGTAGCACTTAAAAGCTCTAAAGCTGACTAATCGTGATCTTGATAACAATGGTTTATGATTACATCTCAGGAAAAGCAAGAATGAGGCTTTTACATACTTTTGTTGTTACATGATAATGTTAAACAGAAAGAAAAACAGGTAGCAAAGTCAACCAAAATCTTTTGTTTTCTAACACTCTCATCCAGAGGCTAAAAAATCATGTTATAATTGGATTTTTGCCTATTCCTTAGATAAATTCAGCTGAAAGCATTTAGAGTTTCTAGAATTAAGAATAACCTAAAACAGCAAATGCATTTGTATTTTCCAATTTTGTATATGTCTAAGTAATGCAAGATTATATTGTAAAAGCAAACAGGTAAAGGACAACAAGAATTTTTAATTAGCATTTCATTAATAATACCAATGTGAAAAGAAAGAGGTCAACTATTAATAAGATACAGATTTCCCACCACTGGGATTTATTCTGAATTCATTTTAAGAGCAGGAAGCTATGATCTAAAATTCACCACTCTAAAACAGTTAAAAGTTGAAATAATTGTGCTTAAAGGATTAGGAGTAGGAATTTAAGAACAGCTTTTTGTACATATAAACCATATAGTTCCTAACTATTGATTTGTAATTTTACTTAGAATTGTAATGCCCATTTATTTCGTGATAAATGATAAGACACTTGATAGCGTATATATTTGGGATAAAAATAATGGCTTAGAGATTTCAATCAGGCATGAGAGTTCCTTTTCATTTCTCTTTTTTGGTGTGTGTACTTAACACTACACAAAAGAAAACATATCAAAACTGAAATATACTCACTAAAATTTAAGGTTATTCCAACAAAAGGGTTAATTAGGGAAACAAATTTTCTCAGACTGTTAATAATGGGAATGACACATACTATGTGCCCATAAGTAATTCTCAGGTATCTTTGATCTTCAGCCCCACGCGATTTCTGTTGCCTACCGTAGCCTGGCCTCTGGGACTGTCTCAGAACCAGACATCTGGCTACTTTGTTGTTTTAGACTAATCTCCTCCCAGGAGAGCTCAAGAAATGACACCAGGCAAGGAGGGTCCTGGCAAGGGAAAAAACATTACAGTATTAGCAGATTTCTTTTTGAGTGGACGAGAGTATCAAAATTGTTTTCAAATTTCTACAGGGGTCTTAGGAGCTCTTCCGTTCTGTAGTTTTAATCTGGCATAATTTAAATAGGATGTATATATTATATATTTAAGGCCCATCAATCATCTTTGAGAATTCACTGAATGTTAATCATAGAATAGTACACTATGTAGGAGAAGGTTGTGGGGAAAAATACAAATCAGATTAATTCCTCACCCATCTGTTAGGGTTGGGTGATGACTGATAAAACAAAAAATTTAATTGTCAGTTGAAGGGTTACACCAAAATTGTGGGACAACAACTAAGATTTGTAAATACAGTTGCTTACTTCCCATTATGCCAACTCCCTATCCTATTTCTTCTAGCTGGGATTTTAGAAAGATCCATAACTACTAATCTACTAAAAAGGTTTTATTAAACTGTGCTTCTGTAAAGTGCCTCTGAGGAAAGCAAGAAAGAGCAAGAAGAAGTGATATGAGCTTTAGAAATAAAAATAAAACAGTGATGTCATGGATAAAGTATTATATTCATAGTCACAACATCACCAACATACCAACATTTTTCCCAAGAAAACAAAAATAATCATCAACACCTGAATATCATTTTAAGTATTATTGTTCAATCTCAAAAATCTATACAGTTTGAGAAAGAAAAAAATTACTATTTGTTTTACAAACAGAAGATAAGCCAAATGGGAAAGCAGCTTATTTGTGAACTTCGATATTTTACCCTAAAATCACATTTTACCTACTTCTAACATATAATTACAGATTTGGATAATGTATAAAATCAAATGTTACCCTGCAATATGATATTTATACTGTTTCACAGGGTGATAGAAACCTCAAGAAATTGCCAAAATACCCATGCACTCATCTCTGATCTATTATTAAGACAAATTGCTCATTTTAGGTTTCAGTTGTCTTCATAATAAAAGCATATAACTATATAGTGAGTTCAGCTTGGTATGATATTTCCTAGGTTAGTAATTATAATACCCTACTTTATCAAAACACTGCCTACTCTGTTAATAACCAGTATAATTAAAACGGATGAAAATGTTCAGAAGATAAACATAAGAAAGAGAAGCTTAGGCAATCATAATTTATTTATAATTATTCCCAAGTAAATATAAAATAATTATGTTACAATGGAATAAGCCCGTTACAATGGGACAATATTGTATGATTCTATTTATATGAGGTTTCTAGAATAGTCAAATTCATAGAGACAAAAAGTAGACTGGTAGTTGCCAGAGGGTGGGGGGAAGGGGTTTTAAGACCAATTGTTTAATTAATGGGTACACAGTTTCAGCCTAGGAAGATGAAAATATTCTAGTGAGGGATAATGGCGGTTACACGACAAGATGAATGTACTTAATGTCACTGAACTGAACACTTAAAAATTATTTTACTGGCCGGGCGCGGTGGCTCACGCCTGTAATCCCAGCACTTTGGGAGGCCGAGGCGGTGGATCACAAGGTCAAGAGATCGAGACCATCCTGATCAACATGGTGAAACCCCGTCTCTATTAAAAATACAAAAAATTAGCTGGGCATGGTGGTGCGTGCCTGTAATCCCAGCTACTCAGGAGACTGAGGCAGGAGAATTGCCTGAACCAGGAGGCGGAGGTTGTCGTGAGCCGAGATCGCGCCATTGCACTCCAGCCTGGGTAACAAGAGCGAAACTCCGTCTAAAAAAAAAAAAAAAAATTTACCACAATTCAAAAAAATTGTTAGAAAAATAATATAAAAATCCAAAGACGGCCGGGCGCGGTGGCTCAAGCCTGTAATCCCAGCACTTTGGGAGGCTGAGGCGGGTGGATCACAAGGTCAAGAGATCGAGACCATCTCGGTCAACATGGTGAAACCCTGTCTCTACTAAAAATACAAAAAATTAGCTGGGCATGGTGGTGCGTGCCTGTAATCCCAGCTACTCAGGAGGCTGATGCAGGAGAATTGCCTGAACCCAGGAGGTGGAAGTTGCGGTGAGCCGAGATTTCGCCATTGCACTCCAGCCTGGGTAACAAGAGCGAAACTCCGTCTCAAAAAAAAAAAAATCCAAAGACAATAAAAATTCCAAGATCTTTTTATTTAGACTTTTGCCCTTTGACCAAAGATTAATAAAATTTATGAGAAGCATTATAATCACATGTTAATTCATACATTGGTATCACCAACATTCAAAAAACAAACCAAAAAAAGCAGAATATCTGTCTCAGAATATTTTAACAAAATAGATTCTAGAAAGAATGTTTCCAAAAACTCCCCTAGATGTCTGAGTTTTCTAATTAATATAAGGTATACTGCAGCTAAATAACAAAACTATTCTCAATATTAACCTATATTTCTAAAAAAATCCAAAGGTTAGAAAATTCAAGACAACCAAATAGATTTTTTTATAACACTACAGGCTATTAAGTTATATTAGACCCAAAAAGTAATTCAGCTATTCAGTAATTCAGTACCTGCTAGATATCACATTATTTTAAATTATATCTAGCACAGTTCCAGTGTTAAATGCCCTTTATTATATTCTATTATTTGAAAATTTTAACCTTATATACTTCATATAAATTGTGGTTAAAGTTTGCTGTATATAAAAAATTACCCCCAAAAAACAGTAGCTTATACAAGAGAGATGTTCATTTTTCTTTCATGTAAAATTTGTTCCAAGGTAGGCAATCCACGGATGGTATGGCAGCTCCATAGTCAATAGGACCCCACGTCCTATTCTTGCTGCTCCATTGTTGGTAACAGGCTATCCGATGAGCCAAGAATGCTCTTCAAGCTCTAATAATCAACATTCCAGTAATCAGACAGAGGAAGAAAAAATGAAGGCTGTACTACTTCCATTTAAGGAGACAACCTGGATGTAATATAAAATACTTTCATTTATATCTTAAAAGCAAGAAGTTAGTCACATGGCCAAATAGAACACCAGGAAGCCTAGTAGATAAATAGGATATTTCAGCTGGGTGCCCAGTTAAAAGTTGGGGTTCTGTTTTAAAGATGAAGGTGAAGTAGATAATAGAAAGCAACCAGAGGAGTGATGTCAGCAAGATGACTGACAAGTAGCTGCTAGGGATCTTTCTCCCCCACGAAAAAGACCAAAATAATGAATAAGAAACTATGTTTTTACCATAATAACCAAAGGAGAGCATGACAGAACAGCAAATGAACAGCAGAAATCATGGAAAGTGCAGAAACCTGAGATGGCTGCACAGAGAAGGGAAGGAAACCTCAGGTCTCCTGTACACTGGAGTACTAGAGTAGCATTCTCCCAACCCCAGAGGTGACAAAGCATCCTGCCCCCCAGGGATGCCAATCCTCCAGCACACCAGAGCAGTTGTACCTCTTGGTACTACATCTGATGTGGCACCCCACCCTCAAGAGTATAGAGGCTCTCCTGACTCCTGTACCCACACTTTCTGGAGATAAGCAGATAGAGTAATTCCCATCCCAATGATTCAGAGCCTTGGGTAAGCCATGGCTCCCCAGGCCAAACAGGCACAGTGCCATACCTACCTGGAACAAAATGAGTCCCCCACAGTCCAAGCTGCTGAAGCACCCCATCATTCCAGAGAGTAATGTCATTGCTGCACTGCAACATGCCCCACAAGCCAAAGTGGCATCTTACCATTCCTGGGTCCTTGCTGCTGCTGCTGCTGCTACACTTGGTGTCACAGAACCTGGGCTATGGTCATGTTCCACCATTTCGAGGTCCACAGTCACCTCATCCCCCAGAGCCTGAGTTGCCACTGTGCCCTAGTGGCTCCAGGTCCCAAATTGCAGCTGTGCTCTGTTCCCTGGGCCTGAGCCTCTGGAGCACCCTTTCTTCCCAAGAGTTATGCAAGTACTATGCCCTGCTCCGCAGGGGCAGTACTGTAACTGCATCTCAGCCCAGGGTTTGGGCTGCTAGGGTATGCTACAGAGCAACGGACCCCAGCCTAGTGGGAGAACTGCATCCAATCATGCCTTGGAGAATGAACCTGTGCCTCAAGTCCCAGGTGCTATAGTAATCTCAAAAGATCCTGAGTCCAAGAACCTGGATCCACAGCTGCCCTCAGCACTTGTGCCATGAATACCAATGCTGCTGTGGCTGCCTGTGAGCTATGCAGACCCAACACCCAAAGAGATCCTCTCAGCTAAGACTAAAAACAAAAACAGAAAAATCCCTAAAGCCTTTGCCCTAACAAGCTGTGAAACCCTGCTACTGCCATGAACTCCTGCAGCATAGACCATAGAGGCATCTGCAACCATTACTAATATTGATCACAGCTACAGAAGCTGCACAAAGATTTCAGCACTGCACCAATACAAAACTAGAGCCTCTATAATCTGACCAACTAGCACCTTTAGGCTCATCTTCAGGGACAAGTCTTCCCCAATGAAAGCCACTCTATAAAGTGTGGAAGAGGTGATTGCACCATCAGATGCATGGACATCAATGCAAAAACACAAGGCACATGAAAAAGAAAGGAAGAATGATACAACCAAAGGAACTAAATAATTCTCTAGCAATTGATGCAACAGAAAGAGAAATTTACTAATTATCTGAAGAGGAATTTTAAAATAATGATCTTAAGAAACTCAGCAAGATATAAGGGAATACAAACGGACAATTTAATGAAATCAGGAAAATAATTCATTATCTGAATAACAAATTCATAAAGAAACAGATATAAAAAGTAAAGAAATCTTGAAGCTGAAGACTTCAATCAATAAAATAAAAAATGAACTATAGAGCCTCAATAGCAGACTACATTGAGCAGAAGAAATAATCTGTGAAGTTGAAGAAAGAACTTTAGAAGTTAGTCAGTAGAAAAAATAAGATAAAAAGGAAAAAGACTGAAGACAGCCTATGGGACTCATGGGATGCCACTAAGCAAAGAGATTTTTGGCATTATGGGAATTCCAGAGGAGAAGAAACAGAGAATGCTAAAAACTTTCCA